TATTCACCAGGTTTGTTTGGGCTATACCTACCAAGGATCAGAAAGCACACACCGTGGCCAAGGCATTGATAAAATATGTCATCACACCCTTCGGAGCCCCTTTGAGATTACACTCCGATAATGGGCGGTGTTTTGAGGCACAAGTCATCACTGAACTTTGTCAACTGTATGGAATAGGTCGCTCCCACACTACCCCTTATCACCCCCAAGGGAACGGGATGTGTGAGCGATTTAATCGCACTCTCCACAACCTCCTTGTAACCTTGCCCTCCTCCAAAAAGTCAAGATGGACCGAACAACTTCCTCTGCTTGTTATGGCGTACAACAACAGCAAACATGCAACAACTGGCTATGAACCTTTCTTCCTCCTGTTTGGAAGGACGGCGCGGTTGCCCCAGCATCTTCTCTTGAGTGTTGATCATGACCAGATTGGTGGCGCGACTCAAGATGTCTACGTCAAAAAGCACCAGGAAGGGCTAGAGAGGGCCAGGCGGTTGGCAGTCAGCAACCAGGATAAAGGAGCAGAAGCCAGGCGTACATTGCATGACCAAGTTGTGTATGAGAGACCGATTAACACAGGGGAGTATGTCTTGGTACGAGATCGCTCGCATCGGGGACGGTCCAAAATCCAAGATTATTGGGAGCCAGAGCTATACATGGTCGTAGAGCGACCGTATGAGGGTCAGCCGATGTACATTGTCCAGAACCCTCGTGGCCAGCGTAAGATTCTGCATCGTTGTGAAATCAAGCATTGTCCTTGGGATCTCCCCGAACCCAAGATGGTGGCGGTTGACGAGACTACTTCCCCCTCTACTTCAGACGAGACGTCCCCCTCTACTTCACCCACCAGTGATTCAGCTGAGTGGGGTAGGTTACTCACCTGGGTCCCCAGGGTGGACGACCAGAGCTCGCAGGAGAAAGCAAGGCAGCTCAGTACTGGGTGTGAAGCAGCCGCCCACCCCATTACTGAAGTGCCAGCGGTATCAGCCAGTGACTCCGAGCCACCCCAGACCAGACCAGAGAACCAGACAGCACCCACAGGAGGCAAGAGCTCTACCAGAGAACCAGTTGAAGATCCCGGCTCCACAAGTGGTGCCAGCTCCCTCGCGGGGAGGACAGATGAAGCTCACCTACTAGGGGTCTCTACTGAGGAACCCACCGAGCCAGATCACTCCACGGGAGGCGTCAGGCGCTCCAAGCGTTCGACCAAAGGCAAGCCACCTAATAGGTTCCAATTCTCAAATGTAGTCAGATTACTTAACCGAGTCAAGCATATGGTTGCTCCAGAGGACACAATAGACACTGATGAATCTGGGGACTAATTTTTGAGATGTTTTTCCATTTCAACCATGTTCTAGACAGTTGACACACAAAACTACTTGTATGTGCATCACACTTAGCAAGGGAACCCCCAGTGCCCTATTAGTCCTGGTAAGCCAATTCTTAGGCCTGTCAAATGTTGACATTTATTTGACTTCATTGTTTCATGTTTAACAAGAGTTCCACTTTATATAGGAAGTCAATCAAAAGCTGTTGTTTATGATGTTTTGATTGTTGATGATTGTTTGCATGCATTTAAATCATTGTTAAGTAGTTATATAGTTTCAGTGTTAGAAGGCCACATACTTGTCGTCGAGGGCGACGACCTCTTAGCAAGGGAAGATTGTGAGGGATGTCGGACGTACTTGTAAGTTACGATGCACTTGTAAGTTTAACGGTGTGCGGCAACAGCGCCACCTTGCGGCGGCCTTGGCATTCCTCACGTTGCCATCGCCTCCGCTGTTGGCCTGTCCGCTGCACACCAACTTCAGTGGCTGAAATAAAACATCACATATAGAGATCCGAATCCTGGGTGTTTGCTGTGTTCTTTACCAAATCACCACAGCTGACCAAACAGCCCCCCCCCCCCACATATGGTTTCCCAATTCAACATAATGTTAAGTTCCGCCATGGTTATTTCGCTATTTGATTATTGTGAACCTGCCTGGCCCGGATATATATGTTTGGGCAGACATCACACAGAAGAGGATCACTGGAGGAGAGAGATGGACAAGTTGTGCTGTCCGGTGACTCACAATAGCCTATTAGCCTCTCCGTCGAACAAAATATATAAAAATAAACAACAATCTGAGTCTGAGAGAGTCCAATTTCTTCACAAATATTCATCTCAATATAAGTCTGTTTGAGATTTCGAAATTATTTCTGAAATGGGCCGCTTTAAAAAGTTACAGTCAATGACAGTAAACAATAAACATAAGCAAGTCGGTACATTTCACCCCAGACATGCAAGACCATGAAGAAAATGCCAGACGGATATTCTATAAAATTCCAAAAATGTCTTCTAAAATTAATTTTGGAATGATTAAAAAACTATAGTTCATTTAAATCATGGGGGAAAAAGACAAGACCCAACCTTGTTCTTTTTTCCGGAAAGAATTCCAATACAGTCGTTTTCCTAGTTCCGGATAGCAAACATCATTCAGGCTGCTTTGGCTCCACTACTCCACAAATTCAAGTGACATTGATTAAAAAGTTTACCTTGAGTGATGGAGATGTTACACAACAAATTTCCAAATTTAAACTCCTTTAAATTTGACTTTACGACGTCAAATGTATCGATGACCTTTTTCCTAGTTCCGGATCGGTTCAAACAGTTCCGAATCGATCAAAAACTGCTTTGCGCGAAAAAAAAAAATCGCGCGAGAAAATCAATTTTTTTTCAGCCAGAAAAACCCCGAATCAAGCCCATTCTGATTAAGTATTGTTTAATTTTGTTATTATTATTGTACATGAAGCGACTTCGCGCGGCAGCTTGTGCCGACATAACAGAATGTACAATCTTTTGACATGGGTTCAGAACTGGATTTTAGCTTCGCGGAGTTTTGAGCAGCGGTGTTTATTATTTACATTCGCCACTTTGTTCTTATTCCCTCTTCCTTTCCCCTTCCTTCTCTATTCTTCGGAACACTGGTGCCCAGGGCCTATGAAACACTTAATCCGGGCCTGCTGGTAGCGCTTCAGGGCCCCTCGAAAAGAATAGTGTGTTAAAGTCAGAGTTTTTAAAATGGCATATTGATTTCTTAAAAAAATCACCCGCGGAATTTTATGGAAACTGAAAAATCGCATGATGAGAAAAAAGTAAATCCTGCCAAAATGGACCTGTCACTTCCAAAAACTTCCGTGTGGACTCGTGCAACTCGATCACTCGTTTAAGCATGAATATCCATGGAATAATTTTGTGGCTGACCATTGTTTTGAACAAACTTGAAGGATTTATTTTCATTTACAAACAAATCTAAAAACGACCGTTGATAAGAACTGTATTAAAACGTGATCCAAACAAAATCTAAAATCCATCAGATGTAGGTAGGTATTAAAATCTTTGCGTCGTTATCATTTTCGTTCTCACGCAAGTACGCGATGAGAAAACAGACGTGATCGAACAAGGAGACTTGGTACGAAAAAGGTCGAAGGTAAAATTTGCTTTGAATTTATCCATTTCCAACTGATTTCTCATCTATTCTGAGGCAATTTTGTCAGTGTTTTAAATAAACAGATCTTATAACTCAACCCGTTAAAACAGTTGATAAAATTATACACAAATTGATAGATGTGATTTCTTTCATCTTTGCCGTATCCCAATAATTTTGGACTCGCCAGCCGGGCTACTTAAGGAATAGTTTGACTAGCCTGCCGCTGTTTTCACTAGCATTTGGCTAGTGGGCTACCGCTAATTTCGAACCCTGGTGATTTGGTCTTGTCCAATTGAGTATGCACATTGTCATTCTGACAAGCTGCTCAAACTGCATAATCGTCTTGCCAGAATGATTCTTAATGCTCATGCTAGAACACATATTAGCGATTTACATGAGGCACTCTCTTGGTCATCATTACCATCTCGTTGGGATTGTCATAGATTGTTGTTATGAGGTTTATAAATGTCTCAATAACCTCAGTCCAGCGTATATCAGTGCCCGTTTTGAAATGCTTTCCCATACTGCCAAAAGACCATTCTCACGGTACGCCATCTTAAAAATCATAGCGAGGCAAATAACTATAACAAGTATGACGGCCTAAATAGTGTGTGCGGTGAACGAATGACTCTCGCAAAGTTACAGCAGATTGACAATCGAAATGGTTCTCAGTTTAATTTTTAATGCTTAATTTGTATTCATGCAGATGAATTGGTAGTAAATGCAAATGCCAGTTTTTATTTGTACAACATACGGTATTATATATATATTTCTTGAATTCCTCAAAAGTGCATGACCAAGGCACTGTAGGCTCGCAAGCCTGAAGAAACCTGTAGAAAGAGGATAATGAGAAACTACAGTTTTAGAAGTGGGAGGAAAACCCCAGAAAAATAGTCTGGGAAAAACCAACGGAATAGGACTGAAAACCTATTTTAATATTAGACAAAAATATCATGAGTAATGTGACGTCATTTTTAAAATGCATACATCTAGAGAACTGCGAGGCTTACTAAGCAGCCGACTGCTATTTTTTTTAAATATATAAGTTCTTTTGTTATTTTTATTGTTTCTTCATTCTTATCTTAACTAGTTTTTACTGATAATGCTACCTTGTATAAATACAAAATATAAAGGTTTTGAAAATCTTAAAGTCCTATGCAACGAAATGCACCTTTTTGCCCAATTTAACCCTAAATTCAAATTTCGTTTTGCACTTTTCAAGATTATTTTTGTGCCTTTTCGATTTTATGCTAATGAAATTTGCACATTCATGAGAAAATTGTAATGCAATTTCATTGCCCAATTTAAACCTACTTTCAATTTTTGTTTGCAATTTTCAAGAGAATTTTGGTGATTATTCATGAACACAAATGTAATGTTATTTCAGGCACAAACCTCAATTTACAGCTATTTCAGGACGAAAAGTTGCCAGAATTTTTGATATTTTGATTTTGTTAACATTTTATTTGTTTTGGCGATTCGTTACTGTGTCAGTACATGGCAGTAAGCCAATGAGCAAACTTTTCTCACAAATATGTTCAAAAAGCAAATGTGTGGGTTTACAATTTGAACAGAAAACCCTTATACTGAACAGTGCCTTCCTTAAATGACATCACAGCAACAGCGCCCTTAGTTGTCTGGAAAGCATGAAAACATTTTTAAAATTTGAAGAGGTACAATGTTCAATCAAATTACCCAGAAAGGGATGTCAAACGTTCATACATTTAAAGAGGAGCAGAAAGTTGCACAAAATATGTTTCTGGATAAAAATCATTTCATGGACCCTGAATTAGTGTGGGTAACCGCTGACATCTTTTCCAATATTTTTTCAAAACTGCATACACTAAATTACATATAAAATTACAAATATAAACCCAACATTATTGACATGATTGAAGGTCTGTGATACAAATATTAACGCTTTTTTACACAGATACAACTTTATTTCCTATTTTTAGGAGATCGATTGTCTAAAGGGGGCATTTTGCTGTTACCACAAACGTAACTGAAAAACACTTTGAGTTCCTCGTGGACGACAAAGCTGGGCATATGGATGCCATTCCCAATAGGTGCGGCATTGTTTATGTCCCAAGTAGGTAGGTACCAGGCCCCTATGTCCCCCAAAACCCTCCGATTGATCTCCCCAATCCCTCTGGTCATGAAGTCGACCGAGAAGACGGTGCTTCTGACCCGTTCCCTTGGGTGGGGACCCTTGACGACGATTGGGGCGTCCGGACAGCGCCTCCGGAAGCGAAGTAATGCTTCCCGGAGGAGAAGGGTACGCTCTGTGTAGCTGTCTCGAGACCAGAAGCTGAAGTGGGCCCAGGGACTCACCACCAGGATGTAGTTGCACCTGGTGTCGTTCAACGCGTCTATCAAGTCGTGTTCGTAGAACACCCCTTCCAATCGCACGGCCCTGCTTCCCACCAGCTGCTTGGGGAATGAGATCAGTATGGACAGGTCTATATCGTCGTAATGCCTAAAACAGTGGAAGCCGAACTCGCCGGGTACCGGGGCAAACTTCTCGCCGAGGAGATCGATGGTGTGATGGAACCACTGCCGAGAGGTAGAGTCCCCGTACATCAAGAGCTGCTTGTTGCGTAAGCATGATGTAAGCGTGGATTTTTCAGTCCAGTCTTTGTTTTCGCAGATGAGGGAGTACCACTTGTTTTCCAACCAGTATCCATCGCTGATTTGTTGTTCTGTGTGGCAGCCTTGAATTACAGGCGTACTTGCACTGGGTGGTCCTAGTGTGGAAGAGAAACATAAAATATCAATATAATGGAGAAAGATTTAATCCAGCCAGTCGACACATCGGTCAGCAAACCAACTTGCAACTTTTGCAAGTCTGATTTAGTCACAATTTAGACTGTCACTGTTGTTCTACCACAATCCATCTGACAGGAAATCAACAGCAGTTCCGCCAATAATTGATTGTATTTCTTGGGTTGTCGGCTCAGACTGGTATTTACACTAATACGTTGTAATACTGTTTAAAAGTGCACCGAATTCGGTGGTTTCGTGTTTATTACAAACGTACCAGATATGTTGACGACGGGGTTCTCCAGTACGATCGGCACCTTTAAATGAGTTTTCGTTCTGAAACAGTGAAAAACAAGTGTTCAATAATTTGGACTAGGATTATTTCAAGTATAGATTTTTGCGTCGAAATTATTGTTAATAAACCTGATTTCCTTATGATTCCCTATTTTTGATTACGTGTATCTTATGCAAATGCGCATGCAAAGCGAATTTTCTCCATTCCGCTCCGACTCTTTCAAAAGACCTATAGACTTTGTTTCCAGAAGTAATTCATAATTACCTGGCAACCAAAGCCGCCTTTTCTCGGTTGAGTATCACGAGAGTACGGCGCATCTGTCTGTCGTCGCTCTTTGTGGAGACTAGCTTGTCACACTCCACACCTTCTGGCTTCTCGCAATAGAACACTGTCTTCCCCAAGGCGTTGGGTCTAGGGTACAAGCACATCCCAGTCAAATTCCCTGTTCTCGTCAACCGGCAAGTTGAGCTGGCAGTGTTTCCCTTGGGCGCCTGGAAGATCCCTTTCCACACGCCCCGCCCCTCGGCGGGCCATATCGTGTTGTTCATGTAATCCACTGCGTCATTGTCCAGAGCCCGGGTAACGGTAAGTGTGCCCGTGCCTGCCCAACCGGCGTAGGCGTAGATGCTATACGAGCCGTTCTTGTGGTCCACTACCCGCCCGGCAGTGCTGGCCTTGGGATTGGACTTGGAGCTCAGGAAGGCGTACCACACGCCCCCTCCTGAGCTGAGCAGGCTACCGTTCTGATGTCTGCAGGTGATGCGGTAGTGGATCATATCGCCGACTTTGATGGAGTCCTTCCGGGGAGACAAAAGAGACACAGTGATCGGGCTGACTTTGGCAGGAACAGTGTCTGGGACTTTCAAGTTGCCCGCTGTTGGATGCTGGTTAGCGGATGCCGTGGGATGTTGTGGCGGTGAAGTGGGCCTGATTTTAATTGGACCTGCTTCGGATTGGACCACGACCGTCGGCGCAGGTGTAGACCGGAAAACGGCAAGAGAAGACAAGAAGGCATGTTGATCCAAACCCTGTGAAATATTGAACCAGACAGTTCTATGACCATACAGAAATGAGAAAAAAAATCTTTCTTTTTTTTTCAAAAGTTCCAAGAGAATTCTCCAATGGGCATACAAAACACCACCAGTGTATGTCGTATAAAGAGAATTCGAGTTTAAATCTCTTCTTTTGTAAGTTGTTTGCAAACTTTGCAAGGGTTTTATCGGATTCACCTGACATTTTGTCATCCATCTTATTCAAATTGTTAAGGGTAGATTAGATCATTCGCAGCTCACCAAAATAACTGACTAAATTATTGTTAAAACGCTACTTGGTTTAAAGGGAATGTACAACATTTGCTTTTGCTGCAATTATAAGAAATAAATGGATTTGGAGGAATAGTATGTTGTGGCAAGTATCATTACACTGACTTGTTTGTGTTCGTAGATGCTAGACAAACCAAGAAAAGAATCATGTTCCTGTAGTGTAGTTCCTTGACCCCACTCAATTAGATGAAACTGAACAATCGATAGACGTCGTGGAATTGTAAGGTCAGGAAACCAGCTGGCTCACACCCGTTCTTACACCCGTTCACGGACGTGTAACCAAATGCAAACAGATTAACAGAATGTGGACTGAATTAATGTGGTAAGTCGGCCGACTAGCGTTGGAAATCGATACAAAATACCACTTTTCTTGAAAACGATAGCACATCAGGTGCCATGATTTTACAGGATGCTTTGGTCCGTCATTCACTTACAGTCCAGTAGGGTTTTTCACAATAATTTGATAGTTTTGTTTTTTGATGTTTGCAAATGTTGTATATTCCCTTTAAAGATGTAGGCATGAAACGAAACCTGATGTAAAATTAATTCCTTCTGACATGCTGTCATTTTGATGAAACAATCACAGGTCATTTCCAAAGATGAGTCAAGTGAGCATTTTTTAAAATTTTTCGTGAGTACAGCGTGCGTTAATAAAAATGTAGCAGTTAATCCAAAAATATTTAATATACTAGCCCTGTCTTTTTTCAAAAGTTATCTATAGATTATGAAGGTATAATGGTAAATACTCTACCAAATGGTCTTTATCCCATCTCATTTGGACACCCCAGTCCAGAGATACTGCTTATCAAATGAAAGGACTTGAATTCCAAGTTGGGCCACTTTTCAGATTATGTGGTATCTAATGAAAGGCATTTGTAACAAGAGTTAATGGTCACATGGTACAGTCCCTCTGTATGTGACCTCACGTTAGTACACACACACTGGAGTAAAGAAAGGTCACACACCCACACACATAAGATGGCTAAGACAAAGGAATGAGACTTGAGAGCACATGGTTAAGAATAAGAGTTAGACAACACAACATTGTTAGAGCCTACAACTGAGTCTTGTGTGGATCATTATCCTGACTTAAAGATTACAACATGGTGACAGAAGTGGCTGTTGTGTATTTGGTCTACTGATGAAGAAGAAACAACCGAGACTGGCTGTAGGAAAAAACTGATGTTCATTGATGTACATGTACAGGTGTCACTAAAGTGATCATCTTAACCCGATATTGAAGTGACTTACTTTAGATATTGTGCTAAGTAAGAAAGAGGATAGATACTGTGGAGATTGTGCTACATGTTCTATCCAAGCCAGATAAAGAAACTGTTGGCAAGTGTTGGAAAATTACTGAATTTCAACCCAGACTCAGAACTCTATATTTGTGCTTTGGTTTTAGTAATTGCTCCTGGGGGATGGGTATCACCGGATTCTGCACCCCTCTCATGATTTGCTGATTTATTAGCATAATTTTGGGAGTAAGTACCTGGGACATTTACTAGGCCTTAGCATAGATATAATTTGAGTGAGCAAAAGCAAGAACAGAAATAAAATGGACAGAATAAAGCCACCAGCTAACCTTGAAATGGAGGTCAGAGACCTGCCACGAATGTGGAAAAGATGGAAAGAAGAATTCAAACTCTACACTGAGCTTGCAATGGCACGAAAAGAGCCGATGAAAGTGAAAATGGCCCAGTATCTAGTTGGCACAAAAGGAAGAGAAGTGTATAAAGCACTGGGGCTCACTAATGAAGCAAAGATGGCGGATGTACTAGAGGCATTCAACGCTTGAGTCACTGTGATCCGAAAAAAAGTGAGACAGTTGAACGGTACAGATTTTAACACGAAATCAAGAAAGTGGAGAATCTATTGAGAAGTACGTCACTGAGCTGAAATTACTTGCTGAAAGTTGCAATTTTGGCTCACTCCGAGATTCATTGCTGAGAGACCGCATTATCTGTGGGATCAAAGATTCCAGTCTGCGTGAAAGGCTACTATGAGAAAGTAACCTTGACCTCGAGAAATGCCTAACCATCAGCAGAGCTATGGTCCGAGTCGTCCAAGGAAAGAATTAAAACCCTGGAAGAGCCTGGAGCTACAGAAGTACACTCTGTGTACAAACAGAAAAACAGAAAACCAGCTCCTGATGCGTCACGAAAGAAAACGATGACAACGAATGCAAGAAAATGTGCAAAACAGCATGATTTGGTAACAGAGAAATGCCCAGCATAAGTGCCACAAGATGAACTTGCTTTGCAAAGCAATGTCGCACGAAAAGTTCACGAGTTCATGCAGTTCAAGATGACAGCAGTTCAGACGATTCATATTACGAGGAACTCATGACTTTGAAGCTTGTACCAGAGACAGTCCACACAGTGGCAAAGTCATACATGAAGAATGTGCATGCCAAAATGATAATAGAAGGAAAACAAGTCATGCTTCAGATAGACTCAGGAGCGACTGGTAATGTGATCCAGAAACAGCTGATCAGTGATGTGCAACCCACAGCGACTAACCAAGCGTTGTCCATGTACAACAAGACAACGCTGAAACCACCTGGGCGATGCAGATTGAAGATGATAAACCCCAAGAATCACAAAAAGTATAAGATGGAATTCGTCGTTGTAGATAATACAGACGTCACACCCATACTCGGGAGCAGAACAAGGCAGCAGATGGGCATGATAGAAGTTCATCATGAGAATATTGCGCATGTTTCTCCACATCTGCAGATGCAGACGGGGAAGTCAGATCTGCAGATGCAGACGGGGAAGTCAGCAGAACAGCTGATCACTGAGTTTGCTGATGTCTTCGACGGCACAGGATTCCTACAGGGCAAATATCACCTGGATGTTGACACAACTGTCATACCAATAGTACACCCACAGAGCCGGGTACCAGTCGCTTTGAAGCAGAAATTAAAGGACGAGTTTGAGAAGTTGACTACAGCAAAAGTCATCAAGCCAGTCGATACTCCTACACCATGGGTATCGAGTCTTGTCTGCGTAGACAAACCACAGAAGCTGCGAATTTGCCTCGACCCTTAAGATCCAACAAAGCGCTGAAAAGAAGCCACTAGCCAGTGAAGACGATTGAAGATATCCTCCCCGACTTGAACAATGCAAAAGTGTTCACAGTGCTAGATGCTAAGAATGGCTTTTGGCATGTGGAGCTAGATGAAGAAAGCTCGTATTTGACGACGTTCAACACACCATTTGGCAGATACCAATGGTTGAGAATGCCATTCGGAATCAGCACGGCGCCAGAGGAATTTCAACGACGTCAGGACCAGGCTGTAGAAGGTCTTGCATGAGTACAGACCATAGCAGATGACATACTGGTATACGGGAAGGGTGAGACACTAGCAGAAGCAACTGCAGACATCAAGCACTGCTAGAACGATGTCGCCAACGAAACCTAAAGCTGAATAAAGCAAAGCTGAAGCTCAAAATGAAGCAGGTGCCATTCATGGGCCACCTCATCACATCAAACGGTCTGAAGCCAGACCCAGCAAAGCTTAGAGCCCTAGAGGAGTTTCCAAACCCATTAAACAAGACGGAGCTACAACGATTCATTGGCTTCGTTAACTATCTCAGCAAGTTTCTTCCTCAGCTGAGTGATACCTGTGAACCACTGAGAAAGTTGACACAGAAGGATGCTGACTGGTGTTGGCTAGAGAACCACGACAAGGCTGTGTATGCCATAAAGAAAATGGTAACCACAGCACCAGTACTGAAGTACTACGATCCAAGAGAAGAGCTCACTCTGCAGTCTGATGCGTCACAGACTGGACTAGTGGCAGCATTGATGCAGAGTGGTCAACCTGTCACCTACGCTAGCAGAGCCCTCACTGATACAGAACCCAGATATGCACAGATTGAGAAAGAGTTGCTATCAGTAATCTTTGGGCTGGAGCGGTTCCATTAGTATACATATGGACGCCGAGTACAGACAGACCACAAACCACTCAAGATGATCGTCCTCAAACCTCTCAATCTTGCACTAAAACGTCTGCAGAGGATGCTGATGAGACTACAAACCTATGATGTAACAGTCTCGTACCATCAAGGCAAAGAAATGTATCTGGTTGATACACTTAGCAGAGCATATCTACCTGATAAGTCACAAGATCGATTCGAGCAACAGCTTGAAACAGTTAACATGGTTCAGCATTTGCCGATCACAGAACGACTGCACGAATTACAGCAATGCACAGCTGATGATTCAACGCTGAAGTTGCTGGAGGAAACCATTTTGACCGGATGGCCTGACACCAAATCAGCAGTTTCCGAACAGCTGACTCCATACTTCGACATCAGAGATGAGCTGAGTATCCAGGAGGGATTGATCTTCAAAGGGGAAAGAGTCATTGTTCCCAAGTCCATCCGTAGTAATATGCTTCAACGCATACACGCATCACATCTCGGAATTGAAGGATGTCTCCGTCGTGCGAGAGAATGCTTTTACTGGCCGGGCATTACAGCAGAGGTGAAAGATTTCATCCAAAAGTGTGACACTTGTAGATCACTAGAATCCAAACAACAGAAGGGGACTCTTCATCTTCATGAAATTCCCAGTCGACCATGGGAAAGAGTCGGAGCAGACCTATGTGTCCAAGGTGAAAACAACTACCTGATCACAGTGACTACTACTCCAATTTCTGGGAAATTGACTACCTCGATGACACCACATCAAAGACT